CTAAGTCTTCAGAGTATCCACTTGTTTGTTTGTTTGGTAGGATAAGATGCTTCCCTCACAGAATCACGGGAGTCAATATATATAACTTGGCATGAGCCTGGAAGCCACCCTTTCTGGTCTTCTCGCTGAGCAGCCACCTTTCTCTAAATTGGATCGATACCAGCTTCCTCCTCCGATTAGTTGTCTGAGTTGCAGCACTCCTGTGGAAGGGTGAGAACATTCCCAGAAGTCACGATGTCACCACAGAACAGATGTGACAGAAGCAGCCAACAGCAACTGAATAGTCACCGTGTTTTTGGACACAGTTGTAGAGAACATTATCTCATGAAAACTCAGAGCTTACAAGATGAATATTATCACAGGTGAGAGGCCACAGAGAGGCCCAGGTCACACTGCTAGCAGTTCAATAATCCTGTATGGGTTGTTCGCAGTGTCTTTAGACATGAGTCCCCAAAAGCACTGTCTGCATACACAGATTTTGTCTGCTGGGTATATTTTTTATCAAGACTTCTTTAGATTCTCAAAGGGGTCCAAGATGCCCAAATGTTAAAAAAATGACTATTCCCAGACATCAGCTAGAGTGAAGAGACAGAGTTGGATAGTTACTTCTGGAGGTGATTCTGCTCTGGAAATCCTGGGAAATCTCCACAACACACACCTGTGGGTTTGAGGTGTCTGGAAAGTGGTCTGAGAAAGAGAGGTGAATTGCTTTGTGTCTCTTCCATCTCCTTCCATAAGGTGAAGGTAATCTGTTCTCTCTCTCTCTCTCTCCCTCCCCCCCCCCCCCCTCCCTCCCCCCCCCCCTCTCTCTGTCTCTCTGTCTGACTCTTTGTCTCTCTGTCTCTCTCTGTCTCTGTCTGCTTCCTGAGCGGGAAAGGGAAGGTACAAACTCCAGGCGAAGGAAAAGGAAGCTTACAATGATAAGAGACCCCAAAGGCGCCAGATACCAGCTTCCCTTCTTGACGATACCACCCAGAAATCTCCCAGCATGCTCCACTCCGCCTGTGTGCCCTCCTTCCGTTCCCATCCCTCCCCCCCCAGGCTCTATTTCATTCTC